GCGGAAACGTTTTGGGAGTTGGTCCGTGGAACTGGGACAATTTTGCACACACAACCAATATCCCATAGGTGGCACCGAATAGTCGCTTCCATTAATTTCGCCAACTTTGTATGCACCTCTACTTGCTCAATAGAGGTGTTATCGCACATTCATCAAGTCGACAGAGTATGAATTTAAATTTAGTATTTGGTAAAATTTAGTAATACATTTTTTTTATATAGGCATTGGTCAAACTGAGAAAAAAGTGCTAGTTTAGTAAAAACAAATTAATATTATGACATAAAGTAGTTTAAAGTTAGTCCGGTCCATTGCAGTATGGTTACCACTCGGACTATCTCTATAACACAAAACATTTTGCCTAATAAGTGATGAGTGTTTGTGTTTGTGGTTTAATTTGGATTATTATGTATGCACATATTCAAGAAACAAAGTGACTACAGTCTACGCATATAAGCAGTGCACAAACCATGTTTATTTAACTAGATTATAAATAGAAAAAAAGTTTTGGAAACTTAAGAAAAAATCAAATGACGTAGTAAAGGAAATGAATATATGTTATTTTAGTTATGAGCAAGGTATGTCACACCTTATTGCCTCCTATTGATGTATTTTTATTGGGGCGAGTACAGCTGGGTATACCTAGACGATGTAGTTTTAGCAACATTTTTATCTGTAGAAGATCTGGCGACTGATGTCAGGACGCCGAGTGGCGCTTTCCCAGATTTTCTACTCGGCTTTGCTCCCACAGATACTACAGCGGCGACTGATAAGTTTTACTTTTACTTCTCCAGTGGCGGCTGTGGCGGTGGTGGCGGCCGGCGTTCGAGCACATCAATTGACGAAGAAAAACGAAAAAATACTCCGAATAAAGCAGAATACGCCAGGAAACGAGCACGATAAGAATCGCGCAATAAAACATCAGGACACGTTCGGGATTAACGTCGAGAGTTGCAATCACACACAACTTTCAACTCGACCCTAATGGCAATTATTGCTGTAAGAAATAGAAAGTTGCGCGAATCGTAACGAAATAATCTCGAAACCCATATCGAATGGGCAGTTACAAAAATAAGTTGGCCTTATGAGAACCATTACGGAACCAGGCATCTGATATCGAAGCACGCAGGAACCAACGAACGAAAGTTACCGGGGATTAACTGTCGATATGACTTCGTTGATTTTTTTAAACTCTCGGCTTTATCTGCAGCTTGCGATAAAGTTGTCGACGCAAGTGGCAACGTGAGAAATTCACGCGTTACATTTATAGCTCGCTGGAGGTTTTGAATTTGGAATAAAACATGAACGGACCTCGTGAATATTTCAAACAGAAAATTGCGCAATGAAGTGTGCTTTTAAATATCTTAAAATGAAAAGTGGTACATTTAAGCTATTTAAACTAGACTAAGTATAGGTATTTTAGGAGTAATATTAATTGCGTTACATAGCGTTGTAGTTATATTTGACCTGGGATTTCCGGTCGTTTTACACAGAAACATAATAAAACTTTTGATAAAGCGTTCAACTGATATGCTAAACATGACAAATGAAGCGCATGATAATCATCTGATTAAAGTCATTAAACAAACTGATACACTGATGAAAAATTACTGGCGTGCGTACAACACCAAGTTAAAAATAGCCATTGCGATTGTAACCAACATTTTTGAACATATTTTATTAATTGTAGTTACATAAAAATATGTTTCAAAATATTTCCCTGTTATTTTGAAGAATTTGGCTTCAAGAATTAAATAAATCAATGAGTTGCAAAGTAAGCACATTGTGTGGCATGATTTGCCTTCACTACGTCGTGTACTCCCATGAGCGTCATACGATAAGCGATATCATTATTTAGAACAGCAGATTTGATTAACGACAGCCATTCAAGAATTTCAGATTCCAGTGTACTAGTTACTTGAGTTACCTCCTTTCGGGAATAAACAATAATTACGTCGACGCCTCCGAAGAAGTGGCAAATGTGTCGTCGCTTCATTAAATTAAGATGGCACAGAAAGGTGCCCAAGAGAACAATAATTTAATAATCCGCCCGAAAAGAAGCAAATGTTGTCGTGTAAAAAAGAGCAAAGCTAAATAAAGGAAAATAACGAAAAAGTAAATCGTGCGTGCAGAAGTAAATTCGATTAATTTCGCTCGTTCCTCCCCATTTCTCAGCGTCTTCCAACGTATTCTTTCCTCTCCATGCGCGATTCAACTGGGAACGAAACGTTTATTCTTTTTTCTTTGCATTCGGCGCCGAGGAAATACAGTCGAAGAGATTTGCTCAACTAATAACGTAATCGTTTCGATCCGTCGACTCATTTCACATCTATCAGAATCGAAAGCAGATATTCAATCAAAGTACGTACAATTCATATACGAGTATTCAATCCCGTGTTTCAAAGAATGAGACACGATTGGGATAAAAACGAAATGGGCAACGTTTAAGGGTGGAAAAATAAATACAATTAGTAAACGCAGCAGGCATAGAGCAAACAAATTGGAATAAGAAAAAATACACACTAAGCATCAATAAGAATATAATTGATTTAATTGTTACGCAGAATTGGTAACACTAACAAACAAGTATTACTTTTAAATTGATTGATAATGATCAATTGTGACAAGTTTGTTTTGCTACTGATGTACATGACCGACGGATTCACCAGTTCTACATTTCTACATCAAATACAAATTTGAAACGTAACTGCGGCTTCAAACATTTGTCATTTCGCGTACCGACGCCGCCATCACTTCGCTTTGCCACTCTACGAGTATATGGCTTAACGCTTCTGTCGCCAATCAACGTTTTACGGCACGACACGCTCGAGTACCATAAACCTATTTTCGCGCCCGGCCAACACACGCCAACCGCTTTCCGCCGCTGAATTACATTCTGTAACTGCCGCAAACCTCCCAAGCAAGTGAAACAAATGAAACAAAGAAAACATAGGTGACATTCATGTGATCTATGCATTGCTTCCCTTCGCAACTTTATAATATATAAATACATAACACATATATCTCATGCTATATCTACACATAATTTATTGACTGGTTATTATTAATTTTATGGAACAATTTTTCTTCCTGCAAATTCCTTGATTTTTATTTGCTATAGGAGACAATGGGACCAAACAAAAGTGAACAAAGTACCCTTATAACTGACAAACTCCTATAACGTTTATCATCCCAACACTCGTACGGCGTTCGTATGGCTGCAAATCTTTAGAAAATCACCGCCAATGTCGTCATAATTCACTTTAATTAAGTGATAATAAGTAATATACGACTCTAGAAACTGCCTTGGGGGTTTTGTGGCGAACAATAGACCTTTGCACCTCGTAGAAAGGTACTTTACGCGCGAAGGTGTTTTAATGCAATCTGATAACGCTATATTTTGATAGGTTTTTAAAACTTTCTTATCGCTAACTAAAGCGGACTTCATTATTCCATCGTTAATTACATTCTTCATGTTTTCTCCCGGGGAAATTGAGATAAAACTAAATTTAATTAGTTTTTATACTAGTTTCAGTTGTGACATGACCAAAGTTTGCGTAAGTCGTATAATCTTATTTCCCACTCTAAAATCATTGACAATTGCAATTATTAGTGAACGTGTGCCTCGTGTTAAATGGTCTGCGGGTTGAATTCATAGGATTATGATGACACATTGCACATAGAAGGTGTTACTGTGTGATGATAATTATAGTAAAGAGAAATTTAGATTTAATGTCACTTTTAATATTTACACTCGAGCGAATTTATGCCCCTGTGCACACCCTCATCCGTCGACAGCGCCAGCGGATGCATATGCAAAACTAGGGGAAGCATGTAGCAGGGAACATGGAAAGCGGTGACGCGCGCTCACAAATTCACGAGTTTCTTAATTCATAATCGCACATCAAAACGCTAGCCTACGTTTAGGCTCCTATCTGTGTCGCAGCAGTTTCCTACAACACATCTCTCTAATAACGCATAAAAGCTACATAAGCGAGGCCTGCACAGAGCCGTTTAATTCGTAAAGCTTCCAGCACGAATTAATTTTTATTGCGTTTCGACACTGCGTAATACGCGTTGGCCGAATCTAATTATTGCGAAACGCAATCTCAGTTTCAATGTTATAGATTGTACACGCAAACAAACACCCCCTAGGCTGGCGTTCAGTTGATGTGAAAACAAAAAATCCATTACTGTCCGCCGCCGCCGGAAATAATAAATAATTGCACAGGCGACTTTGTTTTAATCAATCTCGCAAGTCCAAAAACAGAGAATTGCTACCAGACGACAGAACAAAACGCAGTATACAATTGAAAATGAGCGCTGCGCAACTTTTTTAGACCAAAACCCCGATGACAAATTGCCTACGTGGAATAGGTTGGCATGCGCTAGTTACGCTAGTTTTGCAATAAACATCTAGAAAATTGCCCTCCCCTACTCGCTACGAATCAAATCGAGAAGCTGAACAAACGGCTTACGTGTTTTCTTGCAACTGCGCATCGTAGCGCTGTAAACGCAATTAACACTTCTTTTTTCGTTAAAAGTAATACTCGCAGCAAGCGCGTATTAATCCATGTTTGATAAATCACCTGCTTGGAACATAAGCGCGGCGATAATACCGTGTTTTACAAATATTGGATTTCAATTTCGTTTTCTAGCTGTTCTTGGTGGCGGCAGGCAGCGCGCGTGTATTCAGCTAAACTGCAGTAATTTTCCGCAGGAAATCTTCAATACAATGCGGGCGGCCATTCAATTAAGCTGCGATTATCGTGCGCAAATTATTGGCACAATTTGTCGACACTGAAAAGCTTTCGATTACAGTATGAATTATTACAATCTCGGCAAACTAAACGTTCACAGAAAGTATTGTGTTGGAACCTCTACGAGTACAACAGAACTCGGCAAAGCATAGCCCGTTCATCAAATCAGACTTGTCAACTCATGAACTAATAAATAGATTTTCTTTGATATTATCATTTGTGTTTATAACTAATATAAGTAAGTTCTCATTGTATATCTGTATGTTTATTTATAAACGTTGAGATAAAAACGTTTAAATCAACATTTCACATAAAAGATATTTAACATCAATCATAATAATCGGTAAATATGCTCCATTCTACAAATCATCGTATCTATTGAAATTTCCGAGACTTTATGTAATATCTATTTTCTAATAACAATGTGTCGTTCCACCTTCAGTACACATCACAGATTTTCGGCACGTCTTAACATTATGAATTCTTACATGGATATACGAAATACAAAAACAAATTGGAAATCCATAATAGTACTAACTAGAACCACACATCATTTCGTGTAATGCATACAAGGATGAATAAAATTATAATAATCGATTAATGGCTCAATATGCCGATCAAGCATCATGCTTAAGTCAAATTAGTGCTTTACTTAACACGTTAAGTAGGAATATAGCAAAAGTAGAACAAGAACGATTCCAGTCGAGGCGTAATTCTTGACGAGACAATTTTCTGGCTAATCATCAAACTTGATAGAGTTGACACCCATGTCAATTGGACCACCGCGGTATGACCCTCGCTTCTTTTTCGTCTTCTCATGGCGGAAGGACTTACCCCGCGTGTGCTTCAAGTCTTGATTAGCTCGATCTCCCCAAGAACCACGTGCATTTCTCTGTAGCATAAAAAAAATAATTTTAGTTATGCAACGCAACCATGCTTTACTTATATAGGTAATTTAATACCAGAAAGCGCCTGAATCTTACCTATTTTATATACATATTTAAAATCTGGCTTATTTTGCTTAAACAAGTGCTGGTGACTTAATCGAACGTGATCTTTTTATTCTCCGCAGGTTTGTCGCCGAAACTATTTCTGAATCCACCGCCGCGACCCCCTCTGAATCCCCCACGTCCACCATTATCGCCGCCATCGAAAGATTTCCTGAAGCCACCGCCGCGACCACCGCGATCACCAAAGCCGCCACGACCACCGCGGTCACCAAAACCTCCACGTCCACCACGATCGCCAAATCCACCTCGCCCTCCGCGTCCACCCCTATCCCCAAATCCGCCGCGACCTCCACGTCCTCCCCTATCGCCAAAACCGCCACGTCCACCCCGACCACCAAATCCACGTCCACCGCGATCACCACCTCCGCGTCCACCACGACCGAAACTGTTGCGGGCCTGAAAACAAAAAAAGAGAAAAATTAAGTACAACCCACCGATGCACACAGTACATGGCTAAAATAATGTACGAACTCTATTCACATCACATAGTTTAAAGCTTAAATAAAAGGCAGTTGTACCAAATTTTCTCTTTTCTTGTTCCAGGGCATTTGTTTGTGAAAAGAGTCGTACATTACCTTAGCATCAAATGAATTATCTTGCAATCTGGGATCAACGTAAACTTCCTCTTCACGCACTCTCCGGAATGGTGTAGATGTGCGACGCTTCTACATTATAATTACGATTACAACATCGGTTATAGAACTATTAATTTTATAATGGGCATATAAAAAGTGATTAAACGTACCTTCCAATCTCCACCGTTCTCATTGCCTTCACCCTCTTTGACGAAGTTGCCGTAGTTGTTCTTTTGGCAGAGTTAAATACTTCATCATCGCCCTCTTCTCCTGCTTTCCTCTTTTGTCCTTGTTTAGGTGTTTTACTTTCTTCTTCTTCGTCGTCATCAACATTCATACCGTTCTTTTGTGGTGTGACAACAGCCTTTTTCGCTGGAGGCTCTTCATCATCGCTATCCTCCTCCGAAGATGATTCTGCCTTCTTTGCTACCGGTTTAGCAGCTGCAACTGGTTTTGCAGGAGTTTTCTTTGCACTATCATCATCTGAATCATCCTCGGAATCCTCGGAACTTGATTCGGCTTTCTTAGCAGCTGCTGCTTTCAGCACTGGTTTTGCAGGTGCTTTCTTGGGTTCTTCATCATCTGAAGAATCTTCAGAAGACGACTCTGCTTTTTTAGCAACTGGCTTTGCAACAGCTGGTGATTTCACTGCTGGCTTGGCTGGTTCCTCATCAGAGGAGTCCTCTTCCGAGCTGGATTCAGCCTTCTTTGCAACCGCTTTCACGGGTGCTGTAGGTTTAGTTGTCGCCTTAGCAACTGGTTTGGTTTCTTCTTCAGACGAATCTTCTTCGGAACTGGACTCTGCTTTCTTTGCAACTGGTGCTTTAGCGGGAGTTTTCTTAGGTGCCTCATCTTCAGAGCTGTCCTCTTCTGATGACGACTCTGCTTTTTTGGCTGGTGTGACGGTCTTTGCGGGAATGGTCTTTGCCGGTACCTGTTTCACAGCAGGTGTTTCTTCATCAGAGCTATCCTCTTCAGATGATTCTGCTTTTTTTGCAGCTCCATTTTTAGCAGGTACTGCCTTGGCAGGTGGTTTACTAGCAGCACCTTTCTTGGGTTCTTCATCCTCAGAACTATCTTCTTCAGATGAAGATTCTTGCTTTTTAGCTGGAGCAACCTTGGCTACTGGTTTCACAGTGTTGTTTACTGGTTTGGCCTCCTCTTCACTGGAGTCTTCCTCAGAACTACTTTCTGCTGCTTTTGCAGCAGGCTTTGCTTTACCATTTGATACAGGTACAGCTTTTTTTGGCGGGGGTGATTCTTCCTCATCACTGCTATCCTCACTACTAGATTCAGTACTAACTGATTTTAGTCTGGTCGCATGTTGTCCGCTTTTCAGATAATGATTTACCAAGTCGATAATGCTAGGCGCCCCTTTAACAAGTTGTTGCTGAAAATTGGAAATTTGTATTTATTAAAAACGAATAGTAAATAAAGGTAGAAACATAAAACACGAGGCCATGCCACCACGTGTTGCAGGTTAGAAAGGAAGCGAAATCAAGCATGGATACAAAACTAATTATTCGAACTTGTTAAAATATGTTAAAAAATTGCTGGGCCTACTTACCGGTTTGCATTTGTTTTGAAAAACTGTGGCAACAGATTTGTCTTTTTTGTTTAAGAAGTCGAAAACGACCGCACTGGCAAGTGAGTCCGCCATGTTCAGGTTGAGACGAAAGAGAGATACACCACGCGGTTTTTCAAGGGGACGCACAGAAAGTGAGACCTCGTGAAACGAAATGACAACGACGGTGCTGCTACAAATTATTTTGGACGCATGCGCACTTCATCTATGCACTCTGACAGAGAAAAAGTCCCCAACATTCAATAATGCATTGATTCTCACAATTATTTATAAAATAGTTAATAATTATAACATTTTAAAAGTTATATTAAACATTAATTTATTAATAATTTTAAATACTTTCATGATAAATTTACAAATAGGTTCACTTAGCTTTAGTATTACTAAATTAGCAGTAGAGAATTTACAGAAAAAATTTGTTTTTGTTCTTGTTTTATATTATTTGTATTAAAATATTCAAACCTCCGTATTCCATAAAGTACTTCTTTGTTCTACTATGCGTGCAAGGCATTCCTCATCCGTCAATTCCTTTGTATATATGGTTGCATGTATGTATGTACATACGTACACAGATCAGTACTACATACATTGTCGATTTATTAGTAGGTAATTTTAGGTGGGAGTTGACTGTATGACTGAATACGAGCCAAAGCAGAGCAACAATTTAATCAACTTTACTGGGAATGATACATTCGCAACAATAACTTTATCATATCTACGAACATAAAACAAAATGGTACGTATAGTGCTTAATTCATACTTGAACGTTAACTCTTAATACTAAAAAATATAATTTCCAGTCCAACTCAATATGTGCAGTGACTGATGAGATAAAACTGATGTTGAAAGATTTTCGTTTCCGGAAGGATCACAATACTGCTGCTCTTATATGTAAGAACAACTTTATACATTTTATATTCCCTTAAATAATATATTATTTATGTTTATAAATTATTATATTTTTTATTAGTGAAAGTTGACAGAGAGAAGCAACTCATTGTCTTAGATGAAAAACTAGAGGACATCACAATTGATGAACTTCAGGAGTCCTTGCCAAGCCATCAGCCTAGATATGTGATATTATCCTACAAACAGGAGCACAAGGATGGGAGGGTTTCCTATCCTTTGTGTTTCATTTATTACACACCAAGAGACAGTCATGCGGAACTACAAATGATGTATGCAGGCTCAAAAATTTCATTGCAAAGAGATGCTGATCTTACCAGAGCATATGAAGTTCGTGAGTTGGAGGATTTGAATGAGGAATGGCTATTAGAAAAATTAGGTAACTAATCACTGATCAGTACAAATATATATACAAAACTATTTAAAGTAATTATTATTACTGATCAAGTGGTAAATAGCCTGTGTAGCTTTTGGATGTAAAATCATAAAATTGAGTACTGAAAGTAAGGACAATATTTATTTGATTCAACTTACTGTAAAACAAAGTGGAGACATTCCATAACATCAGGGCTTTTACACTTTTATATATTACTTACAAATATTGAATATTCACCAACCAAAAACCATTTTTTGCTACAGTTTTTAATATATCAATGTCAACTTTATAGATAATATTAATAATATTTACATAAATTTCTACTACTAATCAAATCAATTCAAATATATTCAAGTTTTTGCCTAAAGTCCAGAAATATAAGAAGCTTTAAAAGGTAGATACTTGAAAAAAAACATAGTTCAATGTGTATATTCACTTAAAATTATTTTGTTATATATTTATTCCCTTGAAAGTACAAGGTTGGACATTGTGACTATCTGTTTTAAACGCGCATAAAGAATTATCTATTCGTCCACATGCTTGCTGTAGGCCAATGTTTTTGTGTGATATTGAATAAAATATCATTTGAGTTGCGGCCACCATTTGCATTAACAAACACAAGAAGAAAGTTACTAAACAAATAACAATAAATTACATATAATATGACCACGTTCCAATCAGATTTAACAAAAGCAATGTTCTTATAATATGTTGTGTTTGACAGTTGGTTCCATGTATTATCTTCAATTTATTAACCTTTGTAAAAAGAATATATCATAATACATGCATAGCAAATAAAACCCCTCTGATTAATATTACATGTTTAACTTTTATTATCCATTCATACATTCATCTGTTTCCTTCAATGTACATATATTTTGTTTTTGTTACAAAGTCTTTAAATTAAATTAGTTATTAAATTAACAAAACAAATAAAAAGTAACATGAAGAAAGTTTCTTGATTGTGTTCCTGTGTATTAAGTATATAATTACATGACTTTACAGACTTGTGTGCGGATTTTCAGTTCTTAACACATTATTGCCAATGTTTGCATGCTTAATATAAGACAGTAAACCAACTCGTTGCTGATGTGAATAAAAAACCGTTCTTAATATTAGTCAGAACCGAAAACCCTAGCAAACACAAATTGCATTACATACCGTTAAAGTTTCATTCAACAATTACTTGGAATTAACCCAAATAACGTCAGGCCTAATTTATAACTATGTACGAACATAAATTCTTATTGGTATTTGCATTCGTTCAATTAAGTTTACGTTGTTTCTTGTACTGATTATGTCTTGAAAGCACAAATTACAATAACAGAATTAAAATAATCTGCCCGATATTCAGTGTACGACCTTTTCACGATGAAATCAGACTATATATCATTCTGTAACAGAACAAGAAAAACAACCAGTGATTATTAGGGCTTTCGGTTCTTGAACACTTAACAGACAGCATTAGAAAAACACTCTGTGCTCACAAAAATGTGAACATGCCATCAGGCAAGTTATTGGAATAGCTCTTTATCTATTTATTATGTATTATAGTTAATTATTAATACTATTATCATTTCTTTTCTTGCACCTTATTTAGTTAGATCTTCCAATGCAATGCTGTATATATTTTTAATACAAACTGCATCATTGGAATATCTATATTCAATTATATACAAATATAGATGAATAAGCTCATCATGTCACATGCTCATGAGCCCTTTCCAATGCAATTACATACCCATATAGATAATAGAAAAATGATAATAAATAGAACGCCAGCTTGACCCATCCCTCACACTGGCACTTGTTTAGCTGGTCCATGTTCATGATACTGGTGGGATCATACAGACCAGCACCACTCATTACTGGTCGGGTGCGGTACCGATTAATATGATAAGCTATCAATGGTATATTGATAAGCAGCGAAATCCATTCTCCAGCTGCCATAAACAGTACATTGAAAAATATATGCAGGATATATTCTGGCAGAACCAACTAAAACATAGTAATGTTTGAATGAGTGGGCAACTTTTAATCAAATGTTAGATTACTCACTGGATTGAGACTGTTGCACTGATCAATGGGGTTCTTATGGTCCGTTTTAAGCTCATCGAATGCTATGACGTGAAACAACGAGAAGAAGATAAGAAATGCGTCTACAATCAATGCAATAATGTATGAAAACGCTGGGAAATTAAACGCCATTTTGGTTATGTTCGACTCTAGGCGGATGCGGCAACGATTTACAACAAGCGAACGGAGTAAACTGCGAGCGGCGGAGGCGACTCGCGAGTTGGTTGGTTTGATGTTTACTCCACAACTCAATCAAAGTCAAGTTGTGCCGACGCGTGACGATACGTTCATTTACATTTAATATTGAATGCACGCGGCTAGTCTCGTACGCCTCGTCACCTGCAGAGTGACGCAACGACGTACCGGGACTCGGGAGACCGAGATGTCGAATAAGAATATGTATGCAAGCAAGTGGAAATACTAGATGCCTAGTGCTCATTGTTTTTTTCGCCTAGCCTGTACTTTGTACACAGCTAAATGCTAAATTAAACGTTTCTTGGTACATATTTATTCAAGATAAAACATTAAATGAGTAATACATACAGATTACAATTAATAAATTATGGAAATGTATATGGATATATTTACTGCCACAAACTGAAGTGATGTTAAAGTTCGATTACAATGGTACCAACATTTGATTTAAATGTTTAAACATCAACATGCACTTAATAAGGATTCTTGGTATACTTTTATTTACTTTACAATGTGGTTGTAGGTCTACCTTTTTTATAATACAAATCCATCCAAAATGCGTAGTTCTCATTTTTGGGATTTTGCAGTACTTTCAATTTTGTATCAAAATCTAGATAATCCACTTGGCTTAAATTACTCACTTTGGGCCAAATAATATTTTCTAGAGAAGAATCCTTTACTGGAGTAGGATTACTACAATTAAAACATTTATTATATAGTCACTGATAGTTGTATCATATAAATACCCATATTTTACAAAATTTGCAATCATTTTGACAATTTGATTTCGTTTTTCATAAGCTTTAGCTGGAATTATAAATCTTCGAAAATTTTCAGCGCTGACAGCTTCCAATCCCCAAATGTAGAAAAGATCATCCACGTGGCCAACACGTCCATTAAAATTCAACCGTCCAATTTTACTTGCATAGCTAAATTGCATACAATAAATTCCGACATTGTGGTCTAAGCGAGGCTGAACTAGATCAATAAATTTTCTGATCCCATTGTTATATATTAAATCACTGGATGCCTGAAAGTTTCTGTTGATTTATAATTATCAATACAAAATATTGTGTTGTTACTCGAATTAAAACAGAGTCTGGTAAATTATTAAAATCTGCTTGACTACCACCATAATAGGCTTTGATTGATTTTCCTACTTCTTCAGGATTTACAGCGTTCATACCCGCAGGTACAATTCCTTTGTTAGAAATACCTCTTAACGATGTTCTTGCTAGAATAGTGTTATCCTAGTTACTTTGACTTGATCTGTTTATAATTTTTAGTTGTTTTAACTTACCAAATTCAAAAGTAATTCTCTCTTCACTTGTAATACTAATCATAATTGATTTATTTGTTGGAAAATATCCATTTTCTAATTGCTCTAAAGGACTTCTTACAACTATTGCATCCGGATCTTGTGAATCTTCAACCACTACGCTAGCTACCAGACCATTTACACTTCCATATTGTAGCGTGTCAACGAAAACATATGAAAATGCAGAAGAATACAATAATAATGTATCAGGAATTTTCTTCAAACAATCAACTTGAGCTGAAATTGACGCACTATACGTATGTTTGCAAATACTTGTAGAAATAGTTTGTCGAAATGCTTCTTTGGGATTTTTCTGCACACTATGAGGATTTATCAAAGTGCCGCTTTGTAAAATGATTCTATTAAATAAATGTTGCGATCGTGTTGACTGCCACAAAGCATCGCATATAATTGCCCCAGCACTTTGGCCATATATTGTCACTTGTTTGGGATCGCCCCCAAAATGAGCAATATTATCACGCACCCATTCTAAACCTAAACGGCAGTCTTTAAGACCCAGGTTTTTGGGAATTATACTTCCGTCTGTTAACCATCCCATCGCACCGAGACGATAGTTAATTTGCACAACGATAATGTCCTCATTAACAAGTCTTTCTGGGTTGTACCAACTTGTATGGGTCGTACCTACAAGAAAAGCTCCGCCAAAGAAAAAAACTAAGACTGGATGATTACGATTTCTATTTGTCAAACTATTAGGATTCTGAAACAAAGAAACTTTTAGAAATGTTTGATAAATAATACGTTTAACTTTTAAATAACTTACAGTTGGTGTTGTAACTGTAAGAACCAAACAATTTTTTTCATCCAATTGCCCTGGATAAAATACGTTTCCTATCGGTTGAGGACAGACCTTACCTTCAATTTTACCATTGTGTGTGCCAGACCATTGAAGTTTTGGTTTTGCTACAGTGAACCGTTCGACAGATTCAGCGAAAGGAATTCCTTTATACTGATAGTATGTATTTTGCGGAGAGTCTGAATAATGTTTGATAAGCCCAGTGATTCTTCCTAAATTTGGCAGGAATATGTTAGATTCATGTTTGTCCACAAATAGTAATCCTTCTGCACACTTAAGGATATAAAGAATTAATTCTTTTATTCGAATATAGAACATATAACTTACATGTAAGTAGATTAACATAGGCACAAACATTGTCACTGTTATGAATTTCATTATTTACTGCGGCAAACGATGAAATAAGTTTCTAAATAATTTTGCGTAACTTAAACAAGGAAACGTTTTTTGTTAGTACAATTAGAATGAGCATGCTTGAATTTGGCTTTCAAGTACAGTGACCGCAAAAATACAGTTGAACTTCTTTGCATAAAAAACAAATAAATTTCTAATGCAGAAATTGTTGCCAAACATGTTTAAAATTTCCTATGGGCCATCCTGTTTATGTAATGTTGAGTATAAAAATAAAAATAAATAGAATAAGACAAAAGTTAGTTTTATACCGTGTTTTAGTACATTAAAAACTCTCAAGATGTAAACTTTTGTAATTATAACATTGCTTTCTAATCCGAGTAATATTGGTATTAATGATGAAATCTAGGAAGTACGTTATGAATCACAATACGAAACTTTTGGGGATAACAGACAGTCCAAAAATTACGATTAATACTTTAGTTGCCGGTTCATAGATGTCGCCTATATTCAGAATGGGAACAAAATTATTTACTTGTAAGTAAGTGCTTACTAATAAGCTTAAACTTAAACGGAATTACGAAATATAAAGTTACCCTTGAAATGAGAAAAATTTAAATAATAACGACTTGATTGTGGCCGTAAGTTTATTAATGTCAATAAATTAAAAGTATAATTTTACCAATTTGAAGTGCTTATCAAATGCCGTTAATGTAAATTATAGAAAATATAATATTTATCGCATTAACCAACTATGGTATTTGTCCAATTCTTAAGATAGGAACATTGAAGAGTGTATTATTAAAAAAATATATTAAATTAGACAGAGTTTACACCACCTTCACAACATCTTATGTACTTTTTAATAACATTTACCTTACTGGGGTGCAATAAATATATTCGATTTATACAATTTAATGAATTAATTACAAAAAAATCTTTGTCTATTACGAAACTTCAATAAACACAAAATTGCAACTAACAGTGGCAGTGTGATAGAAGTTGGTAAAAGGTTAAAATCTATTTTCATCAAGGTATTTAAATATTCTTAAATTGACAGTATATAAAAAGTAGCAGAAAATATCATATTACCTAATTATCCGAACATTACAGTCGATACACTTCTCATCAAACGTAAACAAGTCGACGCTGTATTTAAGTATGACTCAGGTGGAATGCAAAAACACCGGGCTTTAGAACACAAGACGTTCAATTCCATCGTCTTTCCTTACAATCAGTTACAATGTTTCACAGTTTTTACCAAAACAAACGGATAATTGCACTACTTGCGAGTATATATATCTACAAGCTTTTCAAAGAAACAGGCCATGCACTTACCTTATTACACATCATATTTCTTGAAATACGAGTAGGTACATGCGTCTTAAAAGGTAAATTCTACGTTTATTTATAAAATAAAATTTGGCTAACTACAAACAACTATCTAAACATTAATCACCATTAATACACATTGTCTCCTCTAAAATTAAATTGCGGTTGACGTCAAATTTAGATATTCTATATTATTATAATTAAAAAAAGTAAGTTTAATTATTGCAGCATTCACAAATTCACATATTTAGTTGATTTTCTTTAACGTGTAATGAGACCAATTTCTGAAAGATAGACATATACTTAGCTTCATCATGTTTTTTATTGTTTAATAGATGATTTACGTAAATTACACCTGCACCGAAGTTACTTTGATTCTATTGTGCTGTCAAATATCTTGCCAGCTAGCAGAATTTTTTTCTATGAAGTCAATTTATTTCAAATCTTCAATTTATGTGTAAAGTACAGCATTCCATTATTGGAATTATTGCAATTGTCAGTCAGACTTGCCGTTCAAAAAATCCTTATACGAGTACACATTATAAATGCAAAAGTGAGTTTCTTTCTCTGTTGTACTTTCACGCACATATTACTCACTCGATTATCATGAAAATTTGTACGGATTATGCATAAGTATTGCGACGAGCATAAGACATTTGTTACAATAATTATAAAGAATTTTGGAATAGAAATTGTGAGATATAATAAGTGATGTGGCATGCCATATATAAAAAACAATAAATTAATAACATGCGCAGTTCTCTATTAAAATCTACGCGAACGGAGTTCACACTGGGATTTACTGTGTGTGAATATATTGAGTATAGTTTCATTACATGTTAGGAGACATAAGTAAAAATAATATTACCTACATTTTTTCACAAATTTTGAATAGGTACCTGATGCAAATTAAAAAAAAATAATTAAATGGTCAATAGTTTAAATTAAAATGGTCATTAATTTTTCTATACTTTGGCGTAGATAGCACTTTGATGTTATCAGTTTCAAAAATAAAGCAAATTAGCTTCATCCATTCGAATTTTCTACTTATAAATTATAAATATTATAATTATTAATTCTGGTTATGATCAATACTAGGGAAGACATGAATAGTATCATAAATAAAATAAAGGTTTCATGAAGTTGGAAATTGAAGGATGCTAAGTAAATAAATATCGGAAAGTACAGAAGGACCAAAGATACCTACCCTTATACCCTCGTATAGGCCTCGTAAAAGAGATCATCATAACCAATAAGAAGAATTTTACAATTAAGTACATCTATCATGACAACAAATATGACCAAATCTGTGGCGTTTCCTTTTTTTCGGCATATCCACATATTGTAAAAAGACATCGTCATTTGTAAAAAATAATAAATATTAAATAAAAAGAAATTTTAGTGATACAATAAGCAATATATGTATTTTAATGGTTTTTTAACTATTAAATACAGAGTAATTACATTTAAATAGCAGTATTGGATAGATTAGAAACCACTCCAATAATTCATTAGATTGGTTTACACATTCAAATGAGTATTTCTTTTTTTCAGACATCCTATACATTTCATAATCAAATATAAGTATTATATTATTTCAGATTGTTACAAGAATAAAGTGGGCTGTTATGCTGGAGAATTGCTGAAGTAATTGATTGCCGAATGTTTTGATGAATCAGCCACTTCTAAACATAAACTACAGGCCCATGTAAAATAAAAACCTTGAGTTTTTCGCCGTCGACTGTTGCCAATTTGAAAACGTAAACAATTGCAGCTTGCAAAACATCAAAACAATTAATTAAGAAATAGTTGCAATTTGCACCACCAGACTGCCATGCAAAGACTTTGCACGTAACAACATACAAGTCAAAAAAATATAACTTCAATAAAATGGTAACACAACACTTCATTAGCAATAATTCTCCTGTAGTTCTTACTCGTGGGTCAAGTAGCAAGTCGTAATCGAACTCATTCCTATGCATGTTTTCAATTCCTTTTTTCCAACTGCAGCCCGTGACGTTCGGCGTTTGTTTTCGTTCGCGTTTTGTACTTTCGTCGTTTTGACATTAATACAGTCAGCGGGACGGTCACGTTTCACTAATAATATTGAAATATTGGAGACATTTATTGGGTCAGCGCGTCTATATCGCCAACAAAACACTAACCCGCGTTATTCATGCCCCAAATAAAAATGAAAGAAATTAATGAGTACATGGGATACATGCGTACATGGAGCCGAGTCTGAACGCAATTTATTAGTTTCAGGGCGCCATGAGTTTCAGAATTCGATTACGAACAGAGTTAACTCAAGCAGAACCAAAATTGAAAAAGAAATCATACAGCATAATAATGTTTATCAGTTCAGTTATAAATCGCAATGTTTTTCATTAAACGTTCCAAAGTTTTTCAGCCTTCAAGCAATTGTTACATGATATCGTACATGGCGACATGGATAATGCGGTGAATGCGTGCCGATAGTCCGACCACGACCACGTCGTCACTCGCCTGCAACTCAAGCTGGCGCACATTTATTCACTAAATTCATATCACCACCGACTTGCGGAGACGCGTGTCAAATTACATGCAGTATGATGTATCGCCCAACGCCAAGGATACGCATGATTCTGAATAAACAATTTCAATAATGTCGACTGCCCAAAAACTGGATCAGAAAAGCAAAGCTTCGTTTTTTTTTTCTCTTGATGTATTCATTTAGGACATATATGGACGTAAATGTTGGTCACTAATTGAAGCTAATGGATGAAAAATACAAAAATGTCACGCGCAGAAATAACACGGACCAATACCATAAATGCCTGTTCGGAGCAGCAGAGCGACGTTTATGATGTAAACAATAAGTTTCAAGGCGCCAACTGAAGAATTACTACCAAACGAAATTTAATGTTTATTATTAGCGGCAAATTACTCATTATCGCAATTTTGCAAAATGTTTTGTTAAAGTTCTAAATTATTAGCAAAAACGTTATATTAAAACATCATATATAGTTAGTATAGGAGGTGTGACATTTATCCATGCACAGTTGTGGTAGGAAACTTATTTATTCGCTGACAAGCACTAATAATAATGCAAGAATTAGGTACAATTACATATTTATTTAAACATATACATTCACGACATTGAACACGTGCCAACTTGAGACAGCATTTTCCAAATTGACTATGCATAAATTACCCACGTGGTATAAGTGTACGTGCCACCCTTCAACTGTGAACCATAAAAAATATTTAATCATCCTCAGTCGTCGGTAGGTCTAATCCCGCTTACAACACACAATCAAGCAATAGACGCAACAACGTATAGTCGACGGCTAGTTGTCTTTATATGCGCTTTGTTTAAGTTTCTAAGTATGCCATCGGTTTTTCGTAATAGTTACTCGTAATTAGCGACAGTAGCCGCACGCTCAATATTAAAAACAATGTATTTGTACGGTGGAGGAGTCACTCTGATCGCGAAGCGTTGGGCCGATCGGTAGTTGGCGCTGAGTCGGCACGTTTCATCAATAATTACGAACTCGAGGCTACTGGGGCGATGCTGAGTAAGCAATATGAAATTTGTCATATTGACATATACGAGTAATTACATAAAAAATTTAAATGGAATTAAATTCAAGTAATTATTACGATGGTAAAAGAAATAAAGTAAGTCGTGATATTGGGACTATTAGGTGCTTGGAGAATGTGAGTGCTCCAAGTAAGAATTGAATTAAATTCGCTTTGATTTTCTGCTGATTTGAATGCCTATTGAAAAAAAAAAACAAAAAGAAATAAAACTACAAAAAATGCCTTATATCAGAACAGCAAATAATTAAAAAAAAATTGATGATTTTGGTTATAATAACTATCCAAATATACCTATATTTCATGTTAATATTTATTTATTTTCATAATTTAATAAACTTTTTAATATTAAAATTTATCTATTCTTAATGGTTTCCATGGCCTAAACAAGTAAATAATTCAATAGTTCTTGATATTTAGGAATTCTTACTATAGCGTGCAATTTGTTTTTGTTATGGTGTACAATTTACAGAAAATTAAAAAATATTGAACATAAACTTCAACTTCATTCAAATTAAGCGCATAATAACCAGACTCCGTTCGATTGATAAGTACTCGCTGATTTAATAACATCAGTTATGAGAGTATTCATACTATATTTTCATAATACTCAAATAAATTTCACTTATCAAAGAATAATTACATACTGCTTGTTTTTTTTATACTCAGCGATTGGTTGTATTATTTTGCGTTTCGCCTTGAGTGCATAAAAATTTTGATATTAGTGGTTTGTTTATTACAGATCATTTATTTTTGGTTCTTATCAGTTATAACTGCTTAATATATTACGTTTTATACGAAAATTTACATTCAATGATAACTTATTTATGTGTTGGAACGAAACAAATCCAAAAAAGTAAGTTTTTGTTTTTATAAATTGATTAAATAAAGCTTTAATTGAAACATTAATAAATTTATAAAAATTAATATTAGTTATAAATAATCGACATAACCATACTCAATAATAGTAATATTCATTCTTCTTCTCAACCCATAATATCTTTACATTGCTTTCTTTCACCATTGTCTTTATGTTATCTTGCTTCCTTTGAACCTTACAATTTCTGTAATTGTTATTACAAAACTACAGCTTGACATTGTCATAGTGACATGCTGGGTGTAGTAAGAGAATCCATCATCGATTTGATAAGTTGTTTTTTGCAATTTGCAAAAGTAATATTTTTTGCAATTTTATTGAGTTGTCGTGGATAAACAGAGTCGATTAATTAATTAAATAATAAATAAACACACAGAGCAGAACCTTACTCAACATTAATGTTTTAGTATGATTTGCTGTGCTTTCAATCAAAAATAAACACAAATAAATATAAACAGCATTAAATATTTGTATTTCTTTTTAATCATTAATAAAATATATTATAAGACAAAAATGATATTTAATTATTATACAATGTTATTGCACTCCTGACTCTTGCTTATTTGTGCATTGCATGAGCCGACTGAGAATCAGTCAGCAGGAGAGAGAACAGCATACGTTCTGCGGCGCGCCTTGTGTGTTTGTTTCGGGCGGGCACGCCTAAACGCGCCGCCATTTTTCGAAGGCGCGCAGCCGCGCGCTTATTGGCCAGCAGGAATTTTCCGCCGGCAAGCTGTATGACGAATTTCCACTCGTGTACTCAGCCCTCATGCCACCTCCTCGTGCTAGGCATACGTTTGTGAACAACGTAAGATATCTACGATTCATGCGATCGCCTTTGCGGGGAACTCAAATACGGCAATATTACCTACTCCAATCATTTGTATAAAAATTATAAGTAATTATTGCGCAAACAATAGTCCCATAATAACTACGATAATATTTAGATGCAGTAAAATTTTAAAATTGGTTTTATTTATGAATATAGGTATGTTTTGTATTAAATCAAAAATTTTATTTTAGTTTTTTTAGTTACATATTTATTAAATTTCTACGTTATTTTTACTGGATTTTACAAATTTATATAATGAGTTTGACATTGTTCGCCCTGAGGGCATCTTCATAAAAAAAATTAGTTTTTTTGTAGAGTTTATTAAACTGTTTAAGTATAACTGCAAAAGTTTTTTAGTGTTAAATCTTTTGAATTTTGATTTTATTAAATTTTTTGCATCTTTATTATTTTTTAACATTCATTCATATTTTGCAAGTAAAAATGTAAATTTCCTGCAAAAATTGGAAAAATGTGAAATTGCACAATATTGCATCCGTTCATACAAGTTATTATTCACTTTTGCTGATAATAACTGTTAAATAACATTCTCTAATTGTTTTATTCTATTTTATTGCTCACCATTAACTCGGTTCTAATTAAATTAAATTTAAATGCAATTCAACATCGAAAAATGTAAGTACAGTTTGAGTATCATATTAAATAAAAAAAACTGTTACTGTATTAAAAGTGATAAATTGATACATGCACACATTAACTAATACCTGCCCCCCGCAAGTGTACGCGCAGCAGCAGCAGGCGGCGTCTCTTGTATTCCTGCAAACCTCGGTTTGGCAGGTTCAGCCCCAGCGTGCGTATATGCAAATCAGTGCGGGCTAGTAGCATCCGTAGCAACGGTAGCAACCGTCTCGGAGTATCGGAGAGCGCGATCGCGAGCCCGTGCGTCGGACGAATCCCGCCGCCCGCCGCCTACCAAACTCAGCGACGGCTCGACGTTCCGAAGCCGCGCGCGTCGCCATCGACGCTATCGTAGTCGTTGCGAACGCGTCGGCCGAACAGGCCATAAAAAAAGTGCACACCACGTCGCGGGCGTTTGAGCCACCCGACTCAGCGCACACTCGTGATTTAAACAGATTAAAACTCAAACATCGAAACGCCGATTACCACTGCTCTACTGGTCTACGCCGAATCGCGTCGCGGCGACTCTGATCCCCAACGGCAAAAACAATCAATGCACGTGCGAAGGGTTTCTCAACGCGCCACGATGTTTGTTGCAAAAGTTTTTATCAAAGGCTGGTTTTAAAAAGAGGAAACTTGTGTCAGAAAATAGATTCTAAAAATCAAGTGTTTCTTGTATGGATTTGGAAGATTTTGTTATAACGGGTGAAATAGTGAAAATGAACGAGTTGATGCAGGATTCATCCAGCTTCCCCGGCGGACGATCTACAGTTCTGTCCATATCTACCAGTACGATCATTCCTAGATCAAACGCGTTGATATCCTCAATGGTAAGTTTATTATATTATCATAAATCAAATCATTTCACGATTAATGTGATTTTCGATTCTTTTACGTTTTCGTGCGCGGTCGGCACACCAATCTTTATAGCGCGTCGAGCATTTAAATACGCATTAAAGAAACTTCTCGCTGCTTAAAACGGCTGCTGGCATTGTTACAGTTACCGCGAGCCATCGTACTGAAAACGTATATTCGTACCGTTTGGTATTTTCGTATGGTACATAAAATCCGTACGCAATTTCACGCCGATATTGACTTGTAAATTCTCCTCCTTCTCTCAATACGAATCAATTCTTTTCTCATGCGCGCTTTTGGCTATACCAGCAATCGCCCCTTTTAAATGTGGCACGTGTAAATAAATGATGCTGCAAGCTCACACTCTGTAAATGTACCGTAAAAATTGCTAATTTCAAAGTGCCAAACGAGATATTCGCAGAAAAATTTGACGCTGTTGCAAAAAAAACATAAAACAAAGAAACAAATTGCTGTAAAGTCAGTTTAAGCAGATATCCATTTTAAAATATTGCAATAAGTTGTGAGTTGTGATGACAATGAGTGTGCTTGTATTTGATTCATAAACGGTGATACGTGCCAGCAAGTGTAAAATTTTGAAATAAAGTCATGTCGCGGCGGTGTCTCGAATAACACAAACGCACGTAACGACCGCATCGAATTCTCCGCACATTTAACACAAAATATCGGTTCATGCTCGCGATATACCCCGGACATCGGATATCAGGCAATAATTACATCGAATTAATGCGCCTATAAACATCCAACTGGTAATTGTAGGCGAAGCTTAACGAAGTCATTTGTCATTTGACTGCAATTAACATATCCGACGGATCGCTTATGGGGTCAAAAAAAGTCGAAATAAATTTTGCATACTCTTTGTGCTGATAATATTAAAATGTTTCTATCCTAATGTCATAGTGAAAATGCTTACGACACTCGTAAACGCGAAGTTGTTGACGAATCGGTTCAGTGTGGCAGAAAAATCAACAAACAAATAGAAAGTCACCCGTTTCTAACAAGTGCTCCGAAATAATCAACTTATTGGATTTAATGATTTGTTTACTTGTATGAATATTGTTTTTTAATTGTATTTACTTATGCTGTGCCTGTTGTTTAGTTTTGACGCCACATTACTTTTCCAGGCGACATCATTAGCTTCCAATATTCGCATTATTTAACTATTATGATATGGCTTTTCGCAAAGTTGATAAGATTTTTTAACGAAAGTACAACTTATTTTACAAAGCACACGTAGATATTGGTGTTGTCGCTGATTTAATCATAACTTCAATAGCAGAATTGAAAAATTGTATGCTTTCAATTATTTCCATTCAAATATTCGAGTATATTTATGTTTCATTGAGTATTTATTTTATTCACGTAATCATTCATTCGATATACCTAGTACTCTTTTATTTTCAACTATATGAATTCCGCTTACGTGAAAAATGGAAATATGTTTTAGCTCTTGTGCCCCAATAGCGCGCAATTGATGAATATTGAGGTTATCAAATGTTCCACGTAAAACAAAATATCAGAAGATGCAGTAATTTTACAATCTCAAAATTGACTAGGGCCATAAATGTAACTTTCTCGAAGAAATATGAAGATACTCCATAGAAGTCCAACTAAACTTAATTACAATCGTGAAGTGGTTTACCAAACAATGGCGTGGATATTAAAATAAGTTTCTATTCGATTACACTTCATTATTTAATGCATATGCCTGCACATTTCGATAAAGTAAGCTTTAATCATTACCATGTTGGTTTTTATGCAGAAAAACGTAATCGGCAATCGCATAAGTTGAACGACATCACACGATCAAAATATTGTGTCGTACCGAGTTTGAATTCGAGGTATGCTCGAGCCGGATCGTAAGAAATCACGCACGGTCGTGTGCGATGAAGGCGAAAAAGTCGAGAGAATCAGCGCGAAATGAGTGATGTAATTTGATCGAAATTCCATATTTGCAGCGATGCGACACGATTTTCCATATGGCGCTTCCGAGAACGTGTGCTTGCTGTGCTTTTTCTTGCATGCTTTTAAAGTCACACCTGCTAGCGTTCGATTGATAATAAAAATCTAGAATACAAAAACTTATTCTGTTATAATTTAATTTTGATAATCTAGATTCATACACTTTGTTAGTGATTGATTGTTTAGAGTAGGTGTGCTAGTGTTTAGCGTTCCGATTTGATTTGTTGTTAAAACAAGAAGCGCCCGCCGCGGAAACATGCTCCGTTGTTGTTACAAAATGTTTTTGCAAACAATAATGCGTGTCGCGAAATCCAGTAAACAACGCGGGCGCACATGTCGTGCAATAACAAATCGATGGGCGACGCGCGAAAATGCGCTATTATGTTATTTCGAGAAAAGTGGACGTCGAACAATAACAATTAGCACGGATATTTATAAATATTCGTTCGTAGATTAATGGAGAGCTTGGGCGCGTTTGTTTGTTAATGCGGTTGTTTTTCTTCTTTGCAATGCAAACATTAATGCGAACGCGGTGCTCAAGCAACTTTTTTGCGCATGGCCTCTACTACTACGTACGTTTTGTCGCTTCTTTTGTCGTGCGCGTTTCTTTCAACGTTTGCGGGCGGAGGGCGGGCACTACGTCTTCACTGATTTGAATCAGATTGCCGCGGACCACCTCGGAGTTTAATTAAAGGTATTGCGCACCCATGAAATGAGTGCGAGAGTGCGAAAATAGCATGCTGATGGAGTTTCAGTCGGAGTACGTACTATAAAAGTAGGGAATTTTTCCGTGTTAAGAGGAATAAAATTACATTCAGTCATTGAGAACAATCATTTGTCCGCGAAACTGTGCATTATTGGAAATTTAGAAAAGCATTGTCTTTGTTTCTCCTTGCGTTTTGTTTTCAACTTTTGCTTTTTATTTTAGTTGTGTGCGTTAAAAGTGTAAAACTGCATTAGCACGGAACTTTGAAGTTTATTATGAATTTAAGTTAAATAAATCTGAAAAGAACATTTGCTGATTTTTATTTGGTGAAAAAAAAATTACCGAAATTTTCCGCAACAGCAAAATTTTGCATAAAAGCTCCGTTTTATGCCTGGTTGCTCGCCGACTGTTGTTTTAAATGTTTATTTTTCGTATCCATTCCCACTGTTTCATGCACGGCTCGGTGTGGTCCGAGATGCCACCGATGATGCCGAATATAACGCATCATAAAATAGGATGAAACTGGTGTTTTCATTACGAACGATGTGTGTTTATAAATAATCTAATGATATTATTCAAATAATATCATCACATTTCACAGCAAACATCGACAAAGCCGGCGGCGCGCATCTGCCCCGTCGCTCCATCCATTACATACAAATATTTCGGCACAAAAATAATTTCAAATGCGCGAAAAGCGTAAATAAATAATTCGCGTATTTAGACACGTCGAGAAAGAGCCTTTTATTGGAGGAATAAATTATTAGACATTTGGAGTCGTTGAGGAAGACAACGCCTGCCGTGCGCGTCGGTGTGGGATTTAAATATAACCGCTCGAGATCACTTGAGATTTTCACGATCATTATAAATTCGCTTGGGTTTATTGTCCGGATACATGACTTTCACAAATAATTGCAAACAATATCAACTAAATACGAATATTTCAGTTGGTGCGTAATTTTTGTGCGTCTTTTGTTCATGATATAGTGTTAAATTTTTAGCAAAACTTTTATTGGCCGGAAATAACTGCAGAGTGAGTGCGAGCGGCGGGCGACGTCGCTGTTCCAATTCCTGCCATAAATTATTGCCGACATATTATTACGACATCTTTATTATTCTTATTCCTAACAATAGACTGACTTGTTTCCGATGCGAAAATACAGAAAACATTTATATCGGGCATTTGCGCATGAAACTAACTGTGTTTTTTTTTCTTACTTTCAGGATCTGGTTAACCACGACATTCTTCAGCAAAAAATCAAAACCGAGCAGCCGGATAACGGATATGCAATGCCACCCCATCCTAGTGCATGTGGCGTTAATCCACACAGTGAGTATACTTTATTTCGATTACATTTAGCGAATGTTTAATTGTACTGGTTCTAATTCGATTGATTCATTATTGAATGTCATGTATTGTATATCGAGTGTTCGTTTGGGTCACACCATTATCAGAAAGGTCGAAGAGTCACCGGGACAAATAAGACGTCCGTTTGATTTTTTTGGATCTTTTACGCGTCTAACTTTCCAACAGTGACACCGTTACGCTCGCTCTCATTTCGTTACTGATAAGCGCAAAAACACGCTAACAGCTTGCCAATAACAGTATCACATTGGCGATGTATGCGTTTTCCGGATAGGCCTCTTCGTAATTGATCACATAATCAGTGTTGATAATATTTAAGAAATCAAAATCACTATAGGAAAATAAATTACTTAAATTTGTTTCAAAAACTTTATTCACACTAAATTAATTTCTTTATAATGTAGTGAAAACGGCGAATTTATATTTGAAGTAGTTTATAAGTATGTATGTTGTTTTATGGTTGATGAGCTTTGTGCTAAACAGATGTTTCTATTTGTTCCGTGATGGCTTATTACCTCTGCGGTTGAAAGCTTAATGACCGAAAAACTTTAAAAACAACATTAACGATGCGCATAATTCAGATATTTCTAATGCGTGTGATTTACGAAGTATTATTAATTCGACACCGCTGCATCCGTTCCTCGTATGTCTGAAATATATTCGTGTTTCACACTTAATAAAACGATTTTCTTTTATTTGGAATTCGGACAATTTGCAAGGGAGTTTTGATTTACGTGTTTCCTCGATAAATTGAGATTATTTGTAGCCAAACATAACTTCTAATTATAAAAGCAAATATATATTTAGCCAGCTGAACCATTTAAGTTTAAAGTGTTCAAAATGAAAGAATTAGCAGGCGACACACGAATCTCACTGAAGAAAGAAAAGCTCTCTGTTGGTTGAGCAAAGCAGCGCGTTCGTTGTTCGTGCCTTTACTGCGCAAGCCGATGCAATGTACCGAACAATATGACACGAACCCATTCATCAACGTAACTTTCAGACCAGTTCAGATGCATTTCTGACGCGATTTTGTTCCTTCGCACTGTTTAAGAATCCATTAAAACCTCGAAAGCTTCAGCGTCAAGTGTGTTACATGTTACAACGCGTCATGAACCAACTTTATGAGCTTACGGTCGAATATACGGCGAACGTGCAACAAGTTATCCTCGTACACTCACAACACGTACACATATACATATTCACTCAACAACATTACAACTTCAGTATCAAATGATCAGTAAAAAGGATGATTTGAGTGGAAAAGTATCGAGTTCGTCTTTGTTTAGGTTGCAGACGTGCGCTCATAATGAGAGTAATGAATCCCCCGTTTTTGAGAGGCGGATAAGGTAAACGGCGTTCAAGGGGAATTGCACCAAATCATGGAGTCAGGGGGAGATTGTGTGCGCGCAGGTCACTGGGGTGGTTACCGGGTGGCTGTTGCGAATGGCTGAGGGCTAATCGAGTGCATTATCGCCTAATTGAGCGCGCACTCGGCGCAACGCACGACACACGTCGGTCTGTACCTGCAAATCCTGCGTCTGCTAAAAGGTTCAGCGCGCACTTCATGAAACTCAATATGCATATTCGCTGGAATTAATAAGCCGACTGACTATCACGTTACGGACAAACACAACTCACGTGTGTGCTGGAATAATTAATAGCAAAACACGATTTGCAATTTGTTGAAAGGATGAATTATCTTTTTTTTGCATGTTAGAGAATTGTGCTAAAAAGTTATTTATAGCTGTGTTTATACTAATTATTGTATATCGGATGATAGCGATCAATCGCGCATGACCTATTTGCGTTGTTTGGGCCATCGCCATCATGAACTTTTTCACAAACTTACCCTCAGCTCTCACCACACGACATACACGTCCTTTGATATCAGCAAATCGGACGATGCGCGATGATGCGTTATCTAATCGGCAATGGATTTGGTGCGAGCCATGATGGATGACTTTTGACATTTCGAAACTTTCGAAACAGAAATTGTGATTTTTATAATATCGCTACGTGCATATGTGTGCGAGGGTATAATGAGTGACTGACGCTAATAATTAACGCGAATTAAGTGTATGTATGAATCGAATTGCGAAATTTACTACGTACGTTATTTCCTTCGCGTATGTAATGCACAATCTCTTTTAATGACGCACATGTATTAAATTGGGCTGTTTGCGCACTTGTTGCAGATACAATTGTACCATCCACAACATCCACTTACACGTCATCAGCGGCTACGTCGACAGAAAAACCGGAAGAACATCGTGCGACATCATCTTCATCAAGTCAATCACCTCAGCCATCTTCATCGAATTCTAATCTAACCAAACCACCATATTCTTATGTGGCATTAATCGCGATGGCTATTCAAGCGTCTCCGAATAAACGCGCTACACTTTCGGAGATTTACTCGTTTATAACGAACAAGTTTCCGTATTTTGAGAGGAACAAGAAAGGATGGCAGAATTCTATCAGACACAATTTGAGCTTGAATGAATGTTTCGTTAAGGTTCCGCGTGAAGGAGGCGGTGAGCGAAAAGGAAACAACTGGATGGTTGATCCACAGTTTGAGGATATGTTTGAGAATGGTAACTTCCGCCGACGGCGGCGGATGAAGCGTCCATTCCGTAACGCGCAGCCTTACACGTCGAAAAGTTTCTTTTCGGATACACTCACGCCGCATAATTTACCACTGACCAGGAATATTTTTTCAGCTACTTCGTATCCACCAGCTTATTCGAGATACGATCCAAGTTGGATTCATGGTAAGTCTTTCATTTTACCTTGTTTTATTTACGCCCATATATCCAACTGTGGGAACAGGTAAAAAGTGGAGGTGGTAGTGATGGAAGGTGTAAGGCAGCTTTGTATCTTGTCTTGTGGGACTGGCTATGACTACCTACTTTACCTACCTTCGCTGTGTAAAGAAGCAAATGGCGGTATAATATTAAGTGTACATTTTTTTCTTTTTCTACAAGGTCAATCATCATTAGCGTACAGCACAAGTTGTGGTTCGCCAGCAGGATATCCCCAGCAAGCATATCCACCCCCGACAGCATTCTCCCCTTGCGGAATGCGCCAGGAAGCCAATCGTTATCCTGCATACTGGCCACCAGATGGGGAGTATCCAGCAGGCACCTTAAGTTCTCCATCTGCAGCCGACCCACAGCTGTTGTTGCAATGGTGACCCATGGTGACCACGCCGCCAGCATCGGCGCCATGTCCCAATTTGCACACAAGCGAAGCAACCCCCAATGGTCATCAGCAACACTTGCAATTGCATCAGCTCAGCGAGCAGGAACTGCTCTGCGCGGTGTGTCCGGCGATAGATAATCGTACTACTAGATAAGTGGATCTATGTGTTCATATTACTAAAGGGAATACAACGAAAACGAACTTTGTAATGAATTAAATAATTTAATTAGGTTGCAAACGATTCAAGGGCAAAGATTATGGAAGAGGTGTGCTTGCAATGTCTTTTTCCCGTGTGATTTATTGCTAGGAAGTTAAACTAAACTAAAAAATTTAAATTATTTAGAACGCATATCATCAAATTGAAATTTAATTACCGCCGAGCATTTGTAATTAGGACTATATGTAGTAAAACAAAACAGTATAATTAATATTGTATTGTGTCGCGTAACGTGTAACGTATATAATCTAAGATATCTCTGTGTACGACTTTTAACACAAAAGTTTCATTGACGAAGAAGGGAAGTGGTATTTCTTGAGCAAATGCAATTTACCGTTCCACCACATTCATCACACTTGTACTCGTATGTTTTATTTTATATAAAATTAAAGTATTATAATTTTACTTTCGAATATAGGCTGTTTCTTCAAAATTGTGTTTGCTCACAACAACAACTCATCGAAAAATATCGAAATCATCTAAATCTATCGTTAGAGAGTTTATTATTTTTATTTCTACTATTACATTGATTTTATTATTTATGATCCGTCCTTTAAGAAACATGTCAGTCATAAATAACATGGCGCAGATTATCGCCGCTTTTATTAATTATACTTACTCGCAATTATTCGAACGAAAACTGTGTAAACCTATATACTAGTAAGTAATGAGGTTGAGTGACATTGTCGGATTATGCAATCTTGTCGTCGATGTGTTTGAACTCTCCCATATTATTACTGAAATATAAATGTGTAATGTATAAACTATTGGAGTTACTTGAACACGTCGAATATAATGATTTATCAAATATATGTTCTATGTAAATATGAAATCTGTTTATGCCATTTTTATGCACCGTTTTCTTTAAAATTTAACCACCACTAATTAATAACTATTACTAAACATTAATAGTATAAGATAGAAAGACTGCTGCATGAAATGAAATCGTACACTTATTCAAAATTTCAGGGTGGTCCCAGCGTTCGCCGCGCATAATAATAGCCCATATCAAACTTGAACAACTCTAAACATAACAAGCAAACTGCCATAACTGCACGTATACACAAATCACAATCAAATGGAAGTTAAACGAACGCGAATTGTTGTAGCTTACGTGTTGGCCGACCGCAGGTATTTTCGATTACTCCACTCCTGCACCCGGCGCGATTCATAAAACGAAACAAACATGCGAAAACAAAGGCTCCGGCGCATAATGGCCGCCGCGGCTTGCAAATCCAATTGTGAAACGAGTCGCGCAAATCGTGTTACGAAAGCAGCTCGACTAATTTCCATTCTTTTCTACTCCCTAATGACATTTCATTCAGAGATTATAGCGGTGTATACGTATGTAGCATGAGTGAACTGGTTTCCGATTGCGGCGATTAAAACAAGTTGAGAATCGATATATCAATTGTATTATTGGCGGTGGTAATAAATGCGATTAATTACATTGACTTAATTGCTTGTACGCAGCGGGATAAAACAATGGTGGCATTAATTTAATAACTTCTCACACAATTTGTCTCAATTTGAATTATTTAATGTGAGGTATGTCTGGGGTGTGCAGTAGTACGAGTGAAACTCATGCAGCGACGAAAATACTTGAAATAACAACGATGTCGTGATTTACGTGCGACCACTGCGTTGATTTATGAAGATGCAGCGGTGATATATGTATATGCATCGCATCTTTGCCTCTGAAGAAGTTCGCTCGCCGCGCACTCGACACTTCACTCCACCTTCCCACTTAAGTAACATCTCAACTGTAACTTAGCACTAATGTGTTTATTTATTGACGTTCTCGTGTAGGACGCGAGCTTATTACGGAGCTATGTTTGCAAACACGTCTTAACGTAAACGCGCGAGTTTTGTCTTCTTCTAACTTTGAATGGGTGTGTGTAGGCGGATGCGCGCGATCGTGATGAGCGTGAGGCCATGATGGCGACCTACCGGATACGCCAATGATGAAAAGCGGCGCGAGGGTGGCGCACAAGGGTGGAAGTCGTACATTACGCACGCGGCGGCAATTCAACATCCCACACATCGCACGTCGTTTTGTTGCGCCACGCCGCATGAAGCGATTGATCTTTTATTTCTTGTTGGGGTTGTTGGAGTCTTCTGAAGTCACCGACGCTCCGCCAACAGCCTGCCTTTAGTACTTCTAAGTACGACACATATTATACTACTACTAAAAGAATGGAAATTTGTACATATGACACGCCAAGTGGAATTTAGTTATGCGTAAAGTTATAAAACTTTGGCCAATCGGCTTGGAATTATTGCGCTAACGCAAATCTAACGTAGGCCATCAGATTTATAAATTTCTTGTGTACTGATGATGGTAATGATGGCATTTGTAGATTGACGTATCTAAATGTCATTTTCGATGCTGGTAATAATGTATCGAACGCGATAGGCCTTTCGATGACATTGATGACGCTCTCTCCACATTCGTAATAGCTTCAGTTTGACTCTCAGCCATCACTACACGCACCCCGCTCAGGCCGGTACAAGTACAGCTGTTACCACTACGTCTTCGCTGCCCACGCTGTCAGCGCATCGTGGTATCTTGGGTAGTGTTACTTAGGAGAGCTATTTTCACATATCCTTAACTCAAACGTGTTCAAGCGTTTCACATCCACCAAGCGTCCCAAGAAGTTTGCATTGATGAATACATCTGCTAAGTTGTTGGATATTTTATCAAACATCTTGTAGAAGTCGGTGCGCTGAGTGCGGCGTGACATTCCGCTCGCTTAATCCCTCAGGACCTAGTTGTCTTCACTTTATTTGCTATCCATCCATCCGCCCGCCCGGTCGTTCGTACACTCGGATTAAAGAGCTGCACATTTAGTCCTATTGCTGGATATTCCGCCGTGGCCGCTCGTTTATTTTTAAATATTTTTGTAGAATTTATAGACGCGTTGCGGTGACAAGAGAGAGAAAGAGTGCGAGAGGTGAGAGAAAAGTTCACGCCGTTTTTCTCCACTAATCGGCATTTTTTCTGTATTTTGTGCATATTTAACGAAAACAATCTCATCCTGCATCGTTAAATACACATTCAGAAACAAAGTGACGATTTTAAGAAAAAAAGCCTCTGAAAATAAATTAACTTTAACAATGGTGTTGACAATAACATATGTTTCAGCTGTTTATTATGTTTTCACGTCAATTATGATTTCAATTATTTATAGAAATATACATATCATCCAAGAAAAATTAACGTTTTTTTTTAAATATTTGAAAATAGAATTAATTCAGTAAATGTTAACACGAAAACAAACAAGAAATGCATCTATATTTCTGATGTTGGGTGGATGATGTGCGCGTGTGTGTTTTTGAGCAGATGCTAAGTTTTACTAGTTATTTTGATAGGTGTCATTTAGTATCTTTTATGTTTTGTAAACGATGCCGGCGTGCGCTCCACAAACAATTATCAATAGATTTCAAAACAATCAACAAACCGCAAAGCACCGGCAATAACTTGATCCTGGTTGAACATTCAACATGCAAACATACTAACCGAAATGTATAAGCAAGTCATTCGTGTACTTTTCGCACTAAACATACTGAAAGCGGATTATATCCATCCAGTCGATAGAGTAACTGGGTAAAGTGAACATTCAACTTGTTTATGTTTCATATTATTTCATATATTCAACTTAGGTTACCTAGGTAAACATAGAAAAGGGTAATACTGATGAGCGGTCACTTTAATAATGTCAGCGTTTCCTAAACTATTATTTCCTATTTTGATCAATTACCAACCAAAAATAAAGTAAAAACAACTTAAAATATATGATATTGACTAATTTGAAACAATTTTTGTTACACTCTTTCGCAGCAGTTATGAATTATAAAAATTTGTCTTCCTTGTCAATTAAAATACTAGAAATAGGAGATTGTTGTGATAAAATATATTGAATGTTTCAGTAGAACTGGAACATTCCCGAAAGTGAAATATATAAATGTACTCAATTTTTATCAGACACGTTTAACCGACTTCAACATTTCCTCATCCGCGCCTAGTTGACTAAACTCGTGGCCCAGCAAATCGTGGTCCGTCGCACGGGAGCATAAATAAACCCAAAGCGCGCACAAGAAACCGAAATTAATATTATTAACACCCGCACTCGCTTGCGTACACGCCAGATCTAGACATCTCGGCATCTTGCCGCTCCTTGGCACCTCGACATCTCATTTAGACGTGAATTATGCTGCCATTGTGCCCGTTTGCACGCTACCAACGCATAAATTGATATAAACCGTTCAGTGCGACACAGGTGAGCGCTGCCAACGCAGAAAATACTGCCATCGCATGCGAAAGCAAATTAATACGAATTTTATTATTATTTTAGAACGTGATATAAATGCGGTTGAAGATTTGCTATGAGCGCAAATTGTGCACTTTTGAACTTAATGTCGACTGCGTTACATGCGTTAAATGTTGACTTTGAAGTTTTGCTGCTCGCGTTGAGCATTTGGCATTTTTAAGCGCACAACATCAAGCAATTTCATTTTCCTTCAGTTTCTTTTTTCATTTTATTATTGCTTGTGGAATCATTTGCGGATTGATTCAGTCAATGAGAAGTCCCAAATGCAAAAGGCTAAGTTTCTAGTTCGTAGGATGGGAGTACTTGCTATGTAAGTAGTCGGTGGAGTGCGCTAGCTATTAAAAACTTGATTTACGATCCGATGTGGACGTTTTCTTAAACGTCTACAAATTGTCGAGCCGGCAAATGAGCGTCATTTATCAGGCCGCGACTAATACACATCCAAGTTAATTTCGGAATACGTATAAATCCCTGTGAACCGTCGAGATTTTTTTCAGTTCAACGCGTCTTTTCAGTACCGATTCTACAGAACAATATTCAAACAAAGAACAAAAAAAAAACAACGGGGTTCTAAGTATTTTAAATAAAAGGAATGATTCATATTGTATATAGTATTCTATACTCTCAATATTAAATTAATAGAATAAATTTTACATTAAAATGTTGTTATTGTAATCGTACTTGATATTAATACTACAAATATTTATAAATGTATAAGCAAATGGAACGAAAATCGAATAATATATCATTTTTGCGCATATCCTCCTTTTCCGCCAAATTGAATATTTCTAGGCGCTGCTGATCTGATCTCCCATTAATCGTTTAATAAATCATCGTCCAAATTGATGTCCTGTAACATTAAATCAGATTGTCATTAGTATCGTTATCCTCGGCATTTTGTTGTACATTTCGTAAGTTGTCTGCACACCATTCGGTTCCCAAATTAAAAACATATAAACCCGAGAGGGTGATTTAACACCAGTGTATTTTAAGTTCAGGCAGTTAAAGTTCAAGCGGTTAATGCGGGCGGGATTACGCCGGTTTCGGGTGCGTGTGCGTTTTGTAAACATATTTAGGAAAATGCCAAGCCATGCAATTCTAGTATAATCAAGCGATAAATAAAACTTATTTATGTGCGTACCGCGCATATAACTGTTTGTCAAAAGCAATGAGCCTGTTGTGGCAAATTAGTGTTTTCGTAATAAAGACTTGTATAGGGAAGCCGAATTAAATCAAAGTGACAAACGAATTGCTTATAAAAACAGAAGAATGTAAATAACCTACCGTCGTATCAATATTTTCGTCTAGATTCATCCCTTCCAAATCCAGATCGATATCATCATCATCTTCTTCAAAAATAGCTTGTTTGCTAGTTAGTGTTGTTGAACTGGTTGCTGTTTCTTCTCTTGCTATTGAAACACCACCACGTGCTTTAACTTCATCTATTAAATTCCTTTCTGATGCAGGTGTAGTATTGCACGCCATTTTCGCTGGTATCAATTGTTTAAACTCTGCTTCCATCACATGCTGGGCTGCTATCGCGTCCTGCAAGCCTGGAAACAAATTTTCATACTCTTTAGGATCCGCCAAGCTTTGGCCGGCTTTCGGGTTAACTGTTGACAGCTCTTGTCTCCATAGCCCCACGACATACGACACTTGGTCGGGTAGATAAGATCGTGCAAAGAACGCCGCTTCTGGCAGTCTATTAGTTTGAATCAAAATGTCTAGACATTTTCTTAAATCTCCAAGCATCATGTACGACAAAAATGAAATATTATTCTTTCCTTCTGCTAGTGTATCCTCTCCCAATTTTCTCACTAAATCCGCATCGCCAGTACTAGTAGCAACCAGTAATAGTCCGCTAAAGTCCTGCGCCCGCTGCATGCATTCTTTTGCCAATGACAAATTATTATTTGCCGCGGCGAGTTCACCCAACTGACTCCACTTTTGAGGGTTATGCGCTTCTACAGCGAGGACTTTGGCAGTATTCAAATCGCCCAGTGCCAATGCCAACTCGAATTTATGTTCGGGATCTGTCGAAACTGCTAGCGCCTGCTGTTTAAAGCCCTGTTTTTCTAAAAAGTGCGCGACTCTAGTGCGGTGTTCTTTGGGTATTGAAGGAAGTACCCTATCAGCTGTTGTAAAGTCGCTTCGCATCACAGCAGTCTGATATTCCAAAACTGAGAGCAGCAGTTGATAACTAACAACTCCCAATTCTTTATCTGTTAAGTAAAGACGGTCGTCCTTAGGAACATATCCCAGAACGTATAATGGACGATCAAGATGAGCGATCGTGACAAGCTCACCACCAACATAGTAATTAATACGATTTACAGCATTAGTGTAAATGAAACAATCACCCACCCACAAACCTGTACGTACTGTTTCATTAATCTCGCCCAGAACATCAAAAGCAGCCTCTACACCGTCTTCCGCTACTTCGTTCGTTTCTCTTGCTTTGACAACTTGTTCAGAGTCATAACTCAGGATATAATAACTGTCTTCAGTTGCCAAACACACTAGTTTGCCGCTATCAGACCAGTAGATTGCTTTTGGTTGAATTTCAATACGGCGCACCAAATCCAACGTGTCCCAATCATAAAATGTCAACCCGGAGACAGACTTCACCCCTAACAACCACCCTCCAAAAATGCCTTCCGCGCCAAAATCAGGGCGGAAACTTTTCTTTTCTTTGAAATTTTTATATATTCTTACAGTGGTACTGGCTTCCCGGATAGCATATTCGCTTGAATCTTGTGCCCATACAAATTCCTGTGCGGAACCAAATGATTTGTTCCTCAGGGCCATGGCAGTGTAAATAATGTACTCGCCATCACCACAAACAACAACAAATCTTCCATTAGGATTATGTTGAATGCTTTGTGGGTAAATTTCGCATGCGCCCATATCTTTAGCAGCGACTGGCAAGCGTTCACCATCCCGAATCTCTGCGCCTTCAGGTAAAGCTTTTAGATTGGCCTGTTGAAGCTCGGAGTGTTTGGCCCAGATGATTTTACCACCGCTAGCGTCCATACTCACCGCCGGTTCTTCTCTGCCGGCTTTTACAAGAATACTTCCTTCATCATAACCAATTGCCACGTTGTTTGATCCTTTCATGCAACAAATCGCCCAGACACGTTCGAATCCGTAGTTGAGGCTACTTTCTAGTCGATTGGTGTTCGCGTGCCATACGCGTACAGTGCCATCTTCGCTTCCAGTTAGAATAACAGGCAATTCAGGGTGGAAACAAACGGCACTGACGTTCTGCGCGTGGCCTTCGAGAGTTTGAACGCATGTTTTCGTCTGGTAGTCCCAAATTTTTACCAAGCGATCGTCAGCGCCTGAGATGATATACGGTTTGTCACCGCCGTGGTAGTAATCGACGCAGTTTACGCCTTTCTCATGACCTTCCAGAGTAAAATTGGCAGTTGATGCACCCAGTTGCCACACTTTTAACGTACGATCTAAGGATGCTGACGCAAACGTGTTGTTGTCTTTTGGATTGATGGCAATCTGCATTACATAGTGTGAATGGCCTTCAAATACTTGTTGACAAGCCCATGCCTTCTCCCAGTTCCATAATTTAATTAACATATCATCTAAAAATCACAAAATTATAAAGAATTATTAAATTATTTAAAATTAGAAAGCAAGCTCTTTATGCCCTCTCTTGGCTTGATAAAAAAACTTACCACTACTAGTCAAAATATAAGGTTGGGTTGGATGAATTACAATACATCTCACATAATCAGAATGCGCTTCAAATGCATGAACTCTGTCCAAAGTGTTGTAATTGAATGCCCTGATATGCATATCATCTGAACCAGCCACAATCCAGTTCTTTCTTGGTACAAACTTGGCTGCCCTCACAGGTAAGTCACATACTTCAAATGTTTTAACAAGTTGTTGATTTTCATGATTCCATACATTGATTATGCCACTGTACAGAGAGCACAGCATCCATGGTTCTGTGGGGTGCAAGTCTACGCATTTTACACGGTCGGAGCGAGCAGTTAGCTTACGCTTGATGTCCAACCGAAGAGGCTTAAAGAATAATTCATAGTTGTTTAAAACAGATTTTGTAGTTTTGATGATGTGTACTGATGACAGGCGTGTTTTGTAGGTTATTAAAAGTTTGAATGATTGTTTTACAAATTAACAGCAAAGAAATAGACGTAAATTACTTACCATTTTGAAGAAATTAAAGTTGTGATTGTGGAATATGCAAGTATAATATGTTTATCCTCTTTTTATTTAAAATTGCAATCGCCGACTCGAAGAAGAATCGGACCAAACTGAAAACAAACACGTCAAACACCGTCAGCTGTCAGACATGTCAGACGTGGCCGGCAGGTGTAAATCTAGGGACATTCCTTTTTAACATAACCAAGATGCATTTATTATTTACAATGTTTAATGAACTGTTTGTTTTGCAAAATTGTAAATTGAACAGATAATATAGATAAATCTAAATGATATTGTTATTAAAATAATTTGTTAAATATAATACAAGTTGCAGTCTTCAAATTTAAATATTACCAATTTGACAGTACATGTCTGAAGGTTGGTAGCACAACCAAAGTAATCGTTTGTGACGCTGCGCCATTTTGTTTCAGTCAAAATGCAACATGAACGTGTTGTATTTTAGATGATTGCATTTCGCTGTGGACTTAAATAGTACAAATAGTGTTAGAATGGCAGCGATTTGAACATCATAGCAGCAACCATCGAGTGTTGCGCCAGCGTTGAAATGCGCTCTTGTTGAAATATTTTAACTGGCGACGTATATTTCCTATTTCGTTGGTGAGCGATTCACCGGCGTTAGATTTGCGCCCCGGCGGATTCCCCAACGCACACGAGCCTGCTATTGTTTATGATACAGACGCAATATCAACGGACGTAAATGATATTTAGTTTTGAACTGGTGACTGATATAGTGTAGAGTGAATCAATAACAACAGCTTCAAGATGATGTACACTGTGAGTAATTACTTAGCTATAAATAATAAATAAGGTTAATGTTTGGCTGTGATGGCATAAAAAATGTAATATTATTATAGGGCACAAATACTGAGCAGGACAATCGCTTCAGTGACAAAGAAAAAAAGTTATTGAAGCAGATGAGATTCAGTGATTGCCTAAGTCAGAGAGTTGATATGTCAAAAATCAAGCTGGAAGTGATCAAGCCTTGGATTCAAGAAAAGATTACTGAGATACTTAAAATTGATGACGATGTGGTAGTTGATTTTGTTTATAATCAATTAGATGAAAAGTACCCTGACCCAAAGAAGATCCAAATCAATCTGACTGGTTTCCTACACGGTAAAAACGCTCGCGAGTTTATGGCGGAGTTGTGGGCATTACTCATATCGGCTCAGGAAAATCCAACAGGTATACCAGATTCCCTCATTGATATTAAAAAGGAAGAAATCTTGAAAACCAAGAAGGAGGAAGAGAAGATTGAGCCGAAAAAGGTGGAGAAGAAGTACAAAGAGCGTTCACGTTCTAGGAATAGGTCGCGCTCACGCAACCGAGAGCACTCTCATTCCCGACGCTCTCGTTCACGATCGTCGCGACCTAGACGACGGTCGCGTGACAAGCGACGCTCCAAGAGTCGCTCAAAGTCGAGAGATAACAAGACTAACGACATCAAGGGAAATGGTAACACTAGTCCTGGCGACCGCGAAGGTAGTCACAATCGAAACGGCGATGATCGACACGACGTGAAGGAGAACAATACTGCCAAAAACAATATGTAAATATAACAATTGATTCGTTATAAATATTCACTCAATTTAGACAAATTCTGGTTTATAGGGAGAAGGACATCACTCAACCTGTCTCCAAACTTCAAGCCAAGCTGATGTCCATGGCCGGCAATGATGCGCGCAAATCTAAGTCGCGCTCACGTTCAAAGTCCCGAAGTAAATCGCGTTCACGCAGTAAGTCGCGGTCTTCTTCCAGATCTAAAAAGTCCACATCGAAGCATCGGTCCAGATCTCGTGATGACAAGGACAAGAGGAAATCTCGGTCGACATCTAGGGGTTCAAAGAACAACTTTGAGATCCGTAAGAAAGACGACAGCGTGCAGAAGAAACGTCACTATCGCTCGAATAAGGACAGCTCTGACTCTGAGGCGGACGACAAGGGTAAGCGACGGAAGAGCGTGTCCAGATCGCCGAAGCGTGGAAGTTGGGATCGCGGCGGAAGGAGGAAACGAAGCAACTCACGTAGACGCAGCACTAGTCGCAAGCGCAGCCCTTCACGAAGGTAACACTTCAGAAAAGCAAAAATATAAGCAAATAATAAAACGAATGAAACAATAAACAGGGGCGTGGCGTTGGGTGTACATTGATGGGTTACTTACTATATTCTTATTTGATTACCTTACTTTCGAAGTTCTCCACTTTAAAGTATTGTGATGAATGTTCTAATCTTGTATTACATTTCAGTGTATGTGTGTTCGCAGACTTAGTCAGTCGAGGAATAAACGGAGCCCGAGCAGACGTAGGAGGAGCCCATCTCGCGGCCGTAGGAGTCACTCTAGACGACGCAGTCCTCGCAGGAATAGCCGCCGGCGCAGCTTGAGCAGACGCCGCAACCGGAGGAGTCCCAGCAGAGGACGAAGAAGTCCTAGTAGGCGTCGTCGTAGTCCCAGTCCTAGGAGACGAGTTAGTCGGGATAGGTACTAAATCTAACTTAAAATGTATAAGTTATATTACCATATTTTCTGTCCTCAGGCGTTTCAGACGAAGTAGAACTCGAGACCGTAACATTCGTCGACCTTCACGTGATGCCCGCCGCCGAACAAGATCTAGGGATCGGCGTTCTCGCTCCCGCAAGCGCAATTCACGCGACAGACAAGAGAAATCGCGTCGTTCGCCAGTGAGAAACCGTGTGTCAAGAGATAAGGACCGTGATCGCCAACCACCGAGGAAATCTAGTCCTAGTCCTAAACGCGACCGCCGCGACAGTTCACGGGATCAGGATAAAAAACGTGACGCACCTTGCAAAAAAGAGGAAAAGAAGGACGAGCATCGCACCGTTGAGGCCCGCAAGGAACCAGAAGTTGCTCCTGTGAAAGAAAAGGAAAAGCCTAAACCTGCCGAAAAGAAGAAAGAAGTAATTGTAGTCAAGTCACTCAAAAAGTCGAAATCAAAGAGTATTAGTCCCGAAAAACACTTGATACCTCCAGACGGCCCTCCTAGATATTCCCGCAGCCTGTCGAGAACTCCGTCTCCGTTCATTAAGGCCGAAGAGTTTCCCCCAAAGAAACCGTCGGCTACTTCTTCCAAAGACGAGAAGAAACGCGCGCTAAAGGAGAAGGAACTTAAAACGAAGAAACCGACTAAGAGGAAGAGTGACAGTGATTCTTCTAGCTCTTCAGAATCTGAATCAGATTATAAAGAGCAGGCAAGACGGAAACTTAAGACTAAGACGAAGATTAGCAAGAAGCGGGCCTCTAGTTCGAGCGATAGCGAACCTGAGTACAAAAATCGCAAAGAGACGAGTGATGCGGAACATCGCAACATAAAAAAGAAAGAAAAAGAGAAGGAACATCGCGAGGTAAGGAAGCAAAAGCACGAGAGCAGCGAAGAGCAAATTAAGAAGAAACGTCATCAAAGCGTTTCTGAAAACGAGAAGAGACCCATCAAGAAGAAGAGATCGTCCAGTTCCGACGATGAACCCGTTAAAAAGACATCACGCAAGGAGGAGTCTTCAGAGAGTGATGAACCAAAAAGCAAGAAAAAACGTCGGCCCAGCTCCGGAGATGATTCCGAATTAGAGCGCAAGGCAGAAAAATCACGACGGCATCGCAAAGACTCCACCTCGGAGAGCGAGGAAGAGGTGGCGAAAAAACGGAAGCACAAGAAAGCGAAGGCCACCACCGACTCGGATGAGGAAGTTGAGCGCAAAAAGAAGAAAGACAAGAAACACAAGAAGAAGAAGAAACATGCAAAGAAGCACAAGAAACACAAGAAAAAACGCGCCGATTCTGACGAATCGGACAACAGCGACGTGACGACCAGCGAGCTGATGATCGAGAACGAAAAGAGGCTGCGAGAGAAGGCACTGAAGTCAATGAAGCGACATTCAAGTGAAAAATCGGAATGATTAGCTCTATGAACTGCGAATTGATATGCCTGAAGAAGGATAAATGAATACATACTTCGATTTTGATCCGGTCGGTCCGGTCAGATCAGGTCAGATCATTTTAGACGAATTTGCAAAATTGTATTTCACTACTTTATTATCTATCTAATCGACGCAAGGCGAGTAATTTGTACATTATTTCGTTTCAAATGTTCTTTATTTGATTCATTAATTGATTGATTTCTGAGAGTGTGACGCTAAATAGTAATAGCGTTGCCGATGTTTTTTTCTTTGAATCGATCATTCCGTATGTTAATGTCAACCCACGGTTCATGCATTGTTTAATTGATGAATGTGACAAAAATTGTGTATTATACTTTTGTGTATTGTAATCAAAGATGACTGACATTATTCAATACCTTACATTTGTTCAATTCAGAATTCATTCACCAAGATTTATTATAATTTTTCTTTAATAACCAGTTTTCGAGTGCAAGGTCAATAACCTTCCTAAAACTACATACGCGCAATGTGGTAAGTGTAAGTCTTCAAGTTATGTGTTTGTATGTAATGTGTGTTGTCTAACTTGCGGTTGGAACAGGTGTAACTGCTTTTTACATGGAGGGCACAACGCGCGGTATTCGTATTGTATTGCCGCGTTATGGACAAGTGTGGGTGGTGGGGAACCAGAATCGATTTAGTCGCGGCGTAGAGGTGCGAATGTGATGTATGGCTGTGTGTTGTTTTAGCTGTAGCGTTACCGCTTCTAACCTAGAAAAACTTTCCGGCATTTCGCGCAACGCGAATCTGCAAAGTACGCGAACTTTGCAACTCAATTGTTTAATGAAAATAACAAAATGCACTGCCTGTTGCCGGCCAGTGCAAATACGCATTTGGAAACGTAACGGACGGTAATTCGGTAGCGACGACGTCGACGCTCAGAAGAAACATCAGCAGCAAGAACAGTAACCGCATCGACGGACTTCACTGTGCCGAAGAAGTGCCGTTCTTCAAGATGAACGATGTATGTGTTACGCGCAGCACGCTGGAACAATTTTCCGAGTCGGTGAGTCAAAGTTTCATTCATTCATATCAAATTGTCGCTGATTTTCGCTATTTACTGCTTGAGTTTGAACACTACTTCGAAGAATTAGCAAAATTTATCTTAGTCATATGATGTAGCGCGCATTCTTTTGTAGAGAAAAACACGCACTGACATCATTTCCTCCTAACAGCTAACCGTAATGATCCGAGACAATAATAATTACGCATATAAAAAGTCGCAACCATAATGAAACTAATTTTCACTACTTTATGCCGCTTAATTTTTTACATTTATTTTGATATAACCGATGACTTTTTTTTACCGTTTTGGAGAGTTTGTGAACACATTTTTTTATATTCAACGCGAATATGCTGTAAGCTCCTGCTGCGAGTGCCATCACATAATATCGACTTTTTTCTTTTTATGGGATAAAAACAACACAGATACGTGCTCGCGAACTATAAATTGTTATGGTGCAGAGACCCAAAGAATGGATTTCTGGCACCAGAGTTGTGTTTTGGCACTTGGAAACGGCACCGCGCGGCTTCCGGTGTACCAAAACGGTTTGCCTGGACGGCTAGGGTTGTGCGAGGGTTTGAAGATCTCGACAGGGTGCGAGTAATATTTTAAAGAGTTTATTGCTTTTATTGGCAGTCGTAGCTCGGCGGCTGATCGTTGGTAACTGGCAACTACCTCGAATAATAGTTGGGGTGGTTCTTATACTAGCTTAAGTTATTGCACTTTGAGCATGCGCAAAGGGCGCTCGTTAGGATTGGACCCTGAGTTAAGTGTACAAACTAAACTAAAGTTACAAGATAAGATATACTAATGATAATAATAATAATAATAATATAATAATAATAATAATAAATAATAATGATAATCTAATTGTTGTTATGGGGTCATAACACCCCTCCCCCCTAAATGGAAATTGAATTTATTTTTTTTATTAAATATGGGTTGTTGCTTGGAGAACAAGATGATGTTGGCGTGGAGTAAGTGTTCATTTCGACATTTTCTTCGGTTGTTGGTGTTTCTATATTCTTCTTCCGGAGCCTTCTTCCTGTTGAATTCTCAACTGCACTTCACATGGTATTTTCCCAAATGTTGGATTTCATTTTGTGTTGTGACACAATCGATGATTCCTCGTATTAATGCATGATTGTAGAGTATTTAACAAGCTATACTGAGATAATGTGGAATCAAGGAGTAAGAATTCTTTGGAAGGGTTAATAAATGAAAATATTTTGTTGTGTTTTGATTTTGGTAAAGGAAACATGTGATAAAGTGTAAATTTCGTTTGGTATGGAATAGGAATATTTAGTGGATAAATAATCATATTTTGATAGATTTCAAGTGAGATTTTGATTATAATAACATATTCGTGAATATTCTCAACGGGTAATCTCAAATTTGTGCTTAAGTGAATAGTTTTTAGCTCGCTTTTTTAATACTGATGGTTGAATGGGTGAAGAATATTACTTTTCGAAAATAATATTGAATTAATTATATCATCAAGTTCTTCGATTAGTGTCGTGCTCAAATGACTTAATAATTCAAAATGTTCAATAATAAATTTATCCTTGATTGTTTCAATTTGTCTATGGATTATTCTTGTCGTGGTTATGCAATAATAATTAGTTTTTAACATTTTTGGTTTTTTTTTTTTTGTCGTGTTCGCAAATTTCCTCGGTTTCCTCTAATTGATTCTGAATAACGTTTAGTTTTGTTTCGTAATGACTTAGGTTCTTATATGTCACTAATGTGAAATACTGATTATATACTAATACAGTACCCATGTTTTTGTAAAATATGCCTGACGATGAATTTAATGATTCTATGTTGAAGGAATGGGAATTGACTTGCTTTAATATGATAAGGATAATAATAATTGTGATTGAATTATTCATCTTCATTACTGTCTCCATTGTTATCCGAAACAAATGGCTTCAATAAGTTTTTGTGAAATGTTTGGTTTTTATTTTTTATTTTAATTGATACTGTTTGGTTCTGGTATACGTCTTGGATTTCGTATGGACCTTTATAAGCTTTCTCGAGTTTCTTTGCTAATCCTTTTGTTGTTCCACAATTTTTTATATATACTAGATCGCCTACTTTGAAGTGGTGATTATTAGTGCGATTGTCGTATCGTTGCTTTGTTTTTTCTTTCGTTGTAATTAAATTATTACGTGCTATTTCGTGTGACGTATTTAATCTTAGTTTCAGTTGCTGATGGTAATCATCATAGCTATATCTAAATTCTGGGGTAGCTATGGCTGAATTTGGTATACTTGCTTTATGTCCAAATATTAACTCATACGGTGTAAAATTTGTAGATGTGTGAATAGATGTATTATAGCAAAATACCGCTGATGGTATGTATGTATCCCAATTGTCTTGCTTGGAATTAATAAAATGTTTTAAATAGTCTTTTAGTGTTGAATGTGATCTTTCTAAAGCACCATTCGTTTGAGGGTGATATGGTGTTGCAAATATTTGTCTAACTTTGAATAATTTATTGACTTGTTTAAATAGATTTGATTTAAATTCTGATCCGTTATCGGTAAGAATGCTTTTGGGAAATCCATATAACATCACAAAAGTGTAGAATATTTCAGCTACGGTTTCTGCTTCATGGTTTATGATCGGTTCTGCATAAAAATATTTTGTGAGATTGTCCTGAAGGGTTAATATAAATTTATTACCATTGAAAGTTTCCGGTAGTGGACCAACGATGTCCAGAGCGACAACTTCAAAGGGTTTATTACATGTTGTAGTAATCTCCATTGGAGCTCTAATAGGGTGCCGATTCGTTTTATTTTCTTGGCATTCTTTGCAAGAATTTATAAATTCCTTGACATCATTTTTCATACTCTTCCAATAATAATTATCGAGTAGTCTTCTATATGTTCTCTCTATTCCAGAGTGACCTGCAATCGATGATGCGTGGTTCTCTTTGATGATTTTTATTTTTTCTGCATTGTTTGATGGTTGTAATTTTGGTTTGTTCACTAAAATTATTTTAATATTCTCCTCCGAAAAAATGTAATCGATCATGTTGTTTATTATTTCTTGTTTAAAATTTAGATTCGTATGTAAAGGATTTGTAAGATGTATTTGTTTGATTTTATTATTTCGTAATTTATTTTTTAGATTGATTAGGGTATAGAAGATATCTTTATAACTTGGTGTTTCAAAATAATTTAAATGAGAAAATAAAAGAAATAATGTATTCGTATTATTTTGTAATGAAATCGCATCGTTCAAGTTTATGTCTTGTGGTATTGAGTTGAAATCAAATTCTGCTGAAAGTGATTGTAGTAGTTTATTTTCTGCGTTTAAATCCTTGGACATAAATGCTGCGATTATTTTTTGTTTCGTTAGGATTGTTTTCATTTCTTCTACTTTTGGAATATCTTTATTTTTATAGTAATATTCGGTGAAGTTTTCATATGTTTGGTAATTTTTGTTAATAAATATGGGATTTCTCGATAGAGCATCTGCATTGCTATTCATTGTACCCGGTTTATACTCTATTTCGTAGTCATATTCTTCAAGTTGTAAACGCCATCTGACTAACCTAGATGATGGGTCTTTACAATTAAATAACCATGTTAGCGGTCTGTGATCCGTTATTATTTTAAACTTTTGTCCAAATAGATATGGTCTAAAGTGTTTGACGGCCCAAACTATCGCTAAAAGTTCTTTTTCCGTTGTTGAGTAATTTTGTTGTGCATTACTTATTTTACTCGACGCATAAGCAATGGGTCTATCCGAACCTATTTCGCCTTGTGATAAAACAGCACCGACAGCGTAATTGCAAGCATCGGTGGTTAAGATAAATGTCTTCTTAAAATCTGGATATATTAAAATAGAGTCGCTTGTTAGTATCGTTTTAAATTTTTGGAAAGCTTGCTCTTGCTCTGGTAGCCATTTAAATTCTTCTTTCTTTTTTGTTAATTTTACTAGTGGATTCGCGATTACTGAGAAATTCTTTATAAACTTGCGGTAATAACCACAAAAACCTAGAAATTGTTGTATTTCCTTGACATTGCGAGGTTTTGGATAATTTTTTAAACTAATTATTTTGTTTGGTTCGGGTTTTACACCTTCTTGTGAAATTACGTGACCTAAGTACGTTATTTCCTTTCGAAGAAAGATACATTTTTTTCGGGTTGTAATTTTAGGTTATTGTGTCGTAATCTATTAAAAATGGTTGATAGTTTCCTTTCATGGTCTTCAATATTGTTGGCATAAATGACGATATCATCTAAATAAACGAAACATTGTGACCCTTGTAAACCCGTTAATATGTTTGTCATCATGCGTTGAAAGGTTGCCGGTGCATTCTTCAAACCAAAGGGCATTCTTAGAAATTCGTAATGACCGTTTGGTGTTGAAAATGCCGTTTTATGGCGGTCGTCCGGGTTCATCAATATTTGGTGAAACCCCGATGCCAAATCTAGACTTGTAAAATATACAGCTCTACCTAACTGATCCAAAATATGGTTTATGTTTGGCAGAGGGAAAGAATCTCCTACTGTGACATTATTTAATTTTCTGTAGTCGACTACAATTCTCCACTTTTTTTCTTTTCCATTCGATTTTTTTGGAACTACCCATAAGGGGCTATTATATGGACTTACCGATGGTATTATAATATTTTGACGGATCAATTTATTTATCTCTTTTTCTACTGCGGCTTCATGTACTTTTGGTAATCGGTAGATTTTATTTTGAATTGGTTGCGACGTTGTTGTTTTAATTTCGTGATGCGTCGCATCTGATGCGGTTAAATTGTCGTTAGGTAAATAAAAAATATCATTATATCTGCTACATATCTCAATTACTGATCCTTTTTCTTCGTCGTTCAAACCTTCTAAATTTAATTGACTTCTAAGTATTTCGGATCTAGAAATTTGATTAATGTTTTCATTGACAGAGAAAATTGTTGCATGTTCTTGTGTAAATTCTTCTAATTTTATGCTTATATTTGGAATGATTTTGATTTCGTTTGTCGT